TTAGCCTAGTCCCAAAGTAAGCACTGTAAGGCTTGTGTTATGGCATGCTAGGGTAACGGATAGAATACATATACAGTACATATATAAGTATATTTTTATAGAAATACATATTTAACATCCATGACTGGAGTACAAATGCTCGTATTCATCACACAATCATCTGCCCCCACCGGGATTCGAACCCGGGACCTATCGAGTCGGCGGCACCATGAAACCCGGCGTACAAACCACTGGGCCATGGAGGTCGTCAAAGGAGTTGTTAATAAAAAAATATTATTATTATTTTGTTTGTTTGCTTTGTATAGGTTCCGAAACTACTGGAACGATTTGAAAAATTCTTTCACATTTAAAACGCTCCCCTATCACGGATGAACACGGGCGATAGTAAATTTTCAAAAAAGCTAGGAATCCGTATGAAACCTTCAAAATTGTAACCAAAAATGTGAAAAAGGTACCAAATAAATACATCAATCGCGTACTACGCTGCGGAAATTATTGACAACAGAGCAAAGTGATGTACTACAGTTTTATAGAGGACATCAATATCTATAATAAAAAACTGCGATACCTTAAGTCTATTACAGTTATGTCACAATAACTACTCTTTCGTGTTGGGTAAGTATTAATCCATATCCAAATAAATCGCAGCGAATTCGGCTCGTAAACTACTTAACAAAATTTCCACTATCAGTTAGATAATTTGTCACGGAAGTTTTATATAATACTAGCTTACCCAGCGAACTTCGTACGTCCATAAAAATAGGGGCATGTGGTAGAAGAGTGAAAAGGACGTGGTAAAGTTTTGTATGAGCGACTGCCCTGGCAATGTATAAATACTGTACTTAGTAATATTTAATGGTAAATGGATGAATATTTATAATTTCTATGAAAAAAGGCTCAGGAGCTTTTGATAAAGTCAAAATCTTGAAAATTATGAGAACTCCTACTATGTCATTACCTTACTACAGCTGATAAAAGATGTTGCCAATTATTTACAGATTCATTAATTTCGCATTTTCTTAGAATCTTTCTTCCCATTTCTCTGATTAACTCTTCACAAAATGTGATTTTAAAGCAAAAATAAATACAAATAGTTTGTTATCGTTGGCCTGACAGAAAATCTGTGAAGTTTTATTTTGTTCATTTGCAAAAATTAAAGGATTGATTATCATACAGCCTTGTCTCAAGCCTGATCCTAATAATAAAAACTATTATTTTAGGCCTTCAGTGATTTGTTTTGATAAAAATTAGGGCTAAATATGTCACAGTTTGAAGGAGTTTAGAAATAATATTGTTTATTTCGATACACTTACACAAATATTTTTTGTATACATGTATGTTCATTTATTTTGTAAAACGGAACATTTTGCTTTTTAAACAGACATGAAGTCAATTATTATACTTTCAATTATTTGATTATTTCACGAAAGTTGTATGAGAATAATAAACACGTAATAATTAATAAAAAAATATTTTAAGGTTACTGGCTAGTGCGAAATATTTATACACGTTAAGGGCAGTTTCTTAGCCAGGTCCTTTAGGGTTGTATGTATTTTCCAAAGTCACATTACTTTAACATTACTTTTGAAAATTTTGTCCAAAAAATTAAAAGAAAATTTTTGAGGTGGACAACCCTTATCACTTAGGGGTAAGAAAAATAAAAAGTAGCCTATTCTCAGACCTACTGAATATACATATAAAATTTCATTAAAATCGGTTAAGCCGTTTCGGAGAAGTATGGTAACTAACATTGTGACACGAAAATTTTAGATATAATATGTTTCATAAAAGTCTGAGAACAAAAACAATAGTCTATATAGCCACTAAAAAAGCTTCTCTAATCAAAAACAACAATCAATCAAAGTACTATAGCTAATATCTTTATCGAGAAATTTAGCGGCATTTACGAGGCTCGTTTATCTTGGTTCTCTTTCTTGTGGTTTAATTAATATTACGAAGCGAAGAGAATGGATTTTGTGTGAAAAAATAGTGTAGTCAATAATTCTCTTGTCCACAAAAATAGTCAAAGGACGGTGAACAGTTTAAAAGAGAAAATGCATGAAACAAAGTACTGAACTTGGATAAATGATCGGTACCTGTAATCGACCGCAGGGAGTAGTAACTCAAGTAGAAAAGGTAAATAGAGAAAATACATGAAACAACGAACTGAACGTAGATAATGATTGGTCAATGTGGTCGACCGCAGGGAGAAGTAGACACTGAAGAAGAAGAGGTAAATAATTGAAGTACAAGAGAAGTAGTAACTGAAGTAGAAAAGGTAAATAGAGAATATACATGAAACAACGAACTGAACGTAGATAAATGATTGGTCAATGTGGTCTACCGCAGGGAGAAGTAGACACTGAAGAAGAATAGGTTAATAACTGAAGTACAAGAAAAGTAGTAACTGAAGTAGAAAAGGTAAATAGAGAAAATACATGAAACAACGAACTGAACGTAGATAAATGATTGGTCAATGTGGTCGACCGCATGGGAAGTAGACACTAAAGAAGAAGAGGTAAATAACTGAAGTACAAAAGGTAACTTCTACGTATGCACCCACGCTTGGGATTGGGTGTGAAGAATTTGATCCACGGATAAAGTAGTCATAAACTAGCGTAGGAGATGGCCATCTGTCATTGTAGAATCTGAATAACAACTTAAGTTTCCGCTCTCGCAAGCGTTTTTATGCGTGTTGAATAAGCGCTGAAATTAAAGAAATGCGCGACGTAGGAGTATTTATTCACATATTGGCGACGACCGTTTATTTAACGCGGCAGTTTTTTGTCCAGAAATTCTGGCTAAATTTGCAAACGCATTAACCTTACCAATTAAATAGGCGTGTAACTGTGAAATGCGACATCGTTTCAGTAAATAAAGTAGAAGCAGTCAAACGAATCTGAGTAGGAAGGTACATAAAGGCTGAGGCAGTCTTAAAGTCACTCGTGAAATCGTAACATTTACCAAATGTCGAAAGATTTATGTTGTGCGTCTTTGCGCGGCAGCCGGCAATGCGAACCCACTTACCGGAACCTAAAAATGTTCACTGAATTCTTTTATTGAATTCTTTTTACTGTGTTTAGTTTGCCTATGTAATGGAATGTGATTTAATGTTTCTGATGTGTCACATCTATCCTCTCGCTTTCCTGCAATTTGTGGGAGTGATTTCGTGAAATGGGACGGAAGTGTGTAACAGGAAGTCGAGAACATAATGTTCAAATGGCTTATTCCTTTTGTAGTAGGTTTTATTTCTTAATGTTACACATCATACGCGACTACTGTAAGGCTCGCTTGTTTTTTTATTATATTAACGATCTTATGGAAAATAAATAAACCAGGGTTAAGATAGATGAGTTTCTTTCAAGTCCTACTGTAGACCCTGCCTACCACAGGCTACAGAGCGGACGCGAGCTGAGAGATATTTGAGAAATAGGTATTTGAAAAAACTATTGCTGTCACGCATTGGCAAATACCGTGCGATAGGGACAACAGTATTTAACGTTGAAAATTGCGTATAAAAACTGCAAAATTCGAGGTTTGGCGCTTGACAATTTCCTCCTCGAAAATTAAACTTAAGTGAAAGAAATTTTACCCTTAGAATAATAAGTAGTTATATATGTTTTGCTTTTTTTGTAAGTACTTATCAAATCTCTACACTAGACGTCTTTAGTGGTGATAAACATTTGTATATTCTTGCCATTTTTGAGGGCTTCTAGTTTCTTTGAAACACAAGTTATCGTAAAAAGGAAGACATAGGAGCATAGAATGATTAAAATTATATTTTATGTATGAAAATCAATTCTTTAGTGATACAAATACAAGGAGGAATCAGTTGAGAACGTTTGTATAGAAAAAACGTTAACATGGTTTTCACAATATTTTTTATGCGATTGTAGCAACATAGAATTATTCGAGATAACGATGCCGAGGAATCTATATTTTTTTTTCAATCTTATTATGTCTGTGCTATAAAAGCAAGAGGCGTTTTATTTCTGCCGAATCCAACGATAAGCTTTTTGAAACTTTTATCACGTCGCTACAATTTTTTCGTACATCTTTAGCATACCGCATTATATTTATGATTGTTATTAAAAATTCTAACTTTATTAACAAGCGTCGGTGGTTCAGTGGCAGGAAGCTTGCCTGCTACGCGGGAGGCCCGGGTCCAGCCGAGAAAAGACTTTTTGTTATTAATGATTTTTAAAGTTTTGAACGCTTTGGATGAATCAATCAATACTAATACAGTTAAGCCTTCTGATATGTGGTATGTTCAGCACATCTGAATTACTCTTATCATACTATTATTAAGGGCGAAAGTTTGTGGGTGTTTCTGTTTGTTACTTCTTCACGTTTAAACGGCTGGAGCCATTTTAATAAAATTTGGTATTGAGTTAGCTGACACCCTGGATTAACACAAAGGCTATGTTTTACTGCGGGAAGATATCGCTAATAAACCGCGGGTAACACCGCGGGGCACAGCTACTTAGGAATAGGAGGAATCCCATTATTTTTTTATGATTGCGTGAGAATCCGTTCCAATGGAAGAGAACTATAACTCCCTACACGCTCTATAACGACAATAATTCAATGAATATTACGTTATGATAAAAATAAATATTTTCAAAGTTGTCTTCCATGATCCGTAAGACACAATGGCATGGAATTATGTGAGACATCCGCTTACGCTACGAAATCTTTGTTATTAAATGTTTTACGCGAGTTGTATAAGCAAACGTACAGTATTATGTTACTTTTATAATCTGTAAAACAACGAAACACTGAAACGTTTGATTGTTTATAACGAAACGAATGAAAAATAAATCTAAAATAAAATTTTTTTTTGATGTTGCATAACGACAAACATCATCTTAGATCGTACAGCCAGGAAAATCACAAATATTTAATCAATACCTAGTATTATTTTGATTTTGACACATTAAACAACGTATATAGCTATTTTTGTCCTATATCAGTAGATTGTATACAAACACAATACTCACGCCACTCTTCCAAACTCGTCCCTGGGGACGTCTTTGTCGGGGCCTCCGGTCTCCGCAAGCTTTGCCCTGAACGAGGCCACCCGCGCAGCTATCTCATCCTTCGGCAACCTGCGCAACCAAACCAGAGAAACACTCATTTAAAATAACGACGACAAAAAAAAAACAGACACATGCAAAACAAAAGAGCACCGCTCTGTTAGAACAAGTGTAGCGCAATGAACAATAAAAATGTCCAATGGAAAACAGCCCACCTGTACGTACCAATGCATGTATACGGCGTGTGTTGTAATCGCGCAGAATTACTTTTCGAAAAACAATAAAAATCGAGCGATAAGACGCTCACGGAGGCGGTGACCGTCGGCCCGCTAGTTGCCGCAACGACGGGAGCGTGTTTAATAAGCCCGGGGTTGGAGTAGTCCCGCTCTACTGAATTATTGATTTGACTCCGGCGCACGTTGGGGCGCCCCCTGAGCAGGGGTGCGATCGCCACAATACTTTAATACAATAAGGCCATTGGACTCGCCGCTGTGTTTGTTTCGCGATCGTAAAGGGGTCCTTTTAGCTGATCGATAAGTAACACATGATTCGAAATTAACAGCTGAATATTATATTCGCACAGGTTGTTTGTCAAAACAGCAAAAAAGCACTCTACATTTTTTTCAGTAAAGCCGATAATTTCGGAGTTATAGCGATAAACGCGTTTTTCAATATGCGGCCAGTTGGGACCACCCTACATTCCCCGATTTTTAAACTTAAAGAGCGGACGCGAGCTTAGACACATTCGAGAATTAGGTATTTGAAAAAACTATTGATGTTACGCGTTGGCAAATACCGTGCGATAAGGGTAACAGCAGCAAACGCTGAAAATTGGGTATAAAAATTGCAAAATACGAGGTTTGGCTTTCGACGATTTTTCCACGAACATAAGATACATATATTTAAAAGAAATTTTACCCATAGAATAATAAGAAGTTTTAGTAGTATGTCTCGTTTTTTTTTAAATGCTTATTGAATCTCCACACTAGAAGTCTTTAGTGGTAATAAAACTGTCTTTTTGGCATTTTTGTGGGTTTCTACTTTCTTCGAAACACAACTTATCGAAAAAATGGAAACATAAACAAACAAAAATCAAGCAGGAATCAGCCGAGAACGTTTGTATGGAAAAAAACATGGCCCGTAAAAAAATTGAGCGTGGTTAAAATTTTGCATACCGATCAAGCCCGCGATCTCCATTTCTTGGGCTAATAGAAAATTGTATCCAAGGTGGTGCAGCAGATGTGTCAACATTAATCAAAATTCGTTTGATGTATTAATTAAAATGTCAACAATTTGTTACTGTTCTAAAAAGTTCATAACTTTAGGTTAGTTCATTTTGGGATAACTTCAAAATAATTTTATCTCCCATCTATTGAGAACAGCACACTTCTCCACAATTTAACTAGTTCACGTCATTTCCTGATTCTGCTAAGTACTAACGAACTAACATATTATTTTGGGGAGCAGGCGAACATCGGTTCATTAATTAAATCAGGATCATTATTCACAAACTCCATTAGCAGTGATTCACAAGTTTGGCTTTCCAGTTCATTTCACCAGAAACAAAAATAATTTACTGGGTTCCAGTGTTCTGTACTATTTCTCATTCAATAGACGAGTCGAGCCAAGCTTAATCTTATTATGTTTACGGTTCTAAAACAGTGGCAAATGAGACATGAAATATAGCAATCATGTCTACTCGATAGAGTAACTCGTTCAACTACAGCGACGTTAATGGAACAGTTTAACAGATCAAAGATTCTAAACACCAATACAAATGGATTAAAATACCACATAATAGACGTTGGCCATAAGCCAATAATAAAAATATGTATAACCAATATACACGCGGCGTCAAAAAAAAACACACCTCCGCTAAAATAACTTTCAGGTGTTATTAACTCTTAACCCGCGCATGTAATATTGGTGTCATTTGAACGCCCATTAAATAAACTTACAAAAAAAACCCATTTCATTAAAAAAAAAATTGATACCACAAATGTGACTTTAAAAAAATATATTTTACAGGTTGCATGGGTATGGTATAATATAAGTTCAAGGGGGATTATTCGCTATCCAACCATTGAAGAGGACACACGAGAAGATCTTTCACAAAAAAAACACCTTAAAGACGGACATCACCGCTGATGAAGCCGCTCAAGTAATTGCACCACTGCAATCAGGGATGCGGCAGTGATGTCGTTCGGCAACTGAACTTGAGCCGTTTTTCGGCTGAGAATAATATACCAGCGGTTGCTGGAGACCGGTGGCCATGTCCGTAGGCATGGGTCTGGTAGACGTAGCTGCACCTCGGAGAAGGACGACCGATTCATCGTATCGACATCTCTAAGAAATCGGTTCTCTAATGCCAACTGAGGGAGAAGATAGCGGCCATAGAGCTGCTACGGGTACAAAATTGACTGCAGTGCATCGGCGAGCCCGCTTGGACTTTGCTCGCGACCACGTCAATTGGACCCTTGACCAATGGAGAACTGTTCTCTTCTCATACGAGACGAGCCTGTGTCTTTTCTGCAACGATAGGCGCATAGGAGTGTACAGAAGACAGGGGGAACGTTTCCAAGTCTGCATCCAGGAGACGGTGGAATACGGGGGCGGTTCCTGTATGTTTTGGGCCGGCATGTCGGCCGACGGCAAAACCGGCTTTGTAAGCGTCTCCCGGACTGGAGGTGCTCGCGGGCAAGGGTCGCTGACTGCTCACCGGTACGACACAAAGATCCTGGAAGAACATGTGGTCCCCTATGCCGGTTTTGTTAGCGAGAGGTTCACATGAATGTACTATAATGCTCGCACTCACACTGCATTAATTGTGCGCGACTACCTTTAAGAGGTTGGGATCTCTGTCATGCAGTGGCCAGCAAGAAGTCCAGACCTGAACCAGATAAGAGCACCTCTGGGACCATTTGAAACGCAAGGTTCGGTCTCGGTCCCACGACTGTCCAGAAGCTCGAAGAGGCCGTTATTGAGGACTGAGCCAGTATCCCTGAAGAAGAGCTCCTGAAAATGGAAAGATCTGTGCAGGACAGGCTTAATGAAGGGTTTTTATTGATTTGTAAACTTTGTTGTTTTTTGCACTGTTCCAATGAAAATAAAAATTACTTAATTGATTGCTTTTTTAAGTTTATTTAATGAGCTTTCAATTGACACTAATATTTATGTTTTAATTTTTTAAACATTTAACTGCTAGATTTAAAAATCTAGCAGTTAAATGCTTAAAAAATTCCACGCGGACCAGGTAGCAGACGGGACTCGAACCCGAACCCTTCGCTATCCGGGCGAATGCACTGACCATTATGCTACCGCGGCCCTGACGGCCGTGTCCAATTTTCTCTAGCCTTAGGCTGCAAGGCAGCGCCATCTCTTCGCATTATAGTAACCCACAATGCTGCCTGGTCCGCGTGGAATATTTAGCTTTAAAAATCTAGCAGCTGAATTTTAGTTTTCACATTGCAAACATCATGCAACTCGAATACATGCGAAGAATGTGAGAAACATATTGGTTGAAATTGATTAGCTCCTTATTTTGGTATTACAGTTACAACAAAGTTTATATTTCAAAACATATTTTTACTGTGTTTTACAATGCGCAGAAAAGTACCCTACGAATGTATTCACTATGCCGATTCTTTATTCATGTGCTACAAGCGCGGACCTAATGAACTAGAAATGATAAATATTATTCGCCTATGAATGGAGGATGGTTACAGATGGTGGAGATACTAAGACATCGTAAGTATTCTCCATTCATGGAGCTGCCGCACTCGAGTAAATCCCAAAATGCCTGCTTGGGCCCTGCTACTACAAGGAATGGAAGTAGTTTGCTGTCTCCTTGGCAGTTCCCGCACATGGTGGGTAATAGTTCCTCTTTCTGTTTCTGTCATTTGACACTACTTCCTACCATATTCATTGACCATAAACAAGGGCGTATTTACTCTAGGGCCATGGCTCGGGGCTGCAGATTTTAAAATACGACCCTGTACATAAATAAATAAAAAATGTTTCTGTGGTATTAACAGTTTTGCGTGAAAAAAATTAGAGCATTACTGCTGTTTTCCGCAATTTATTTCATTAAGCCAAGAGCATTGCTCTTTATTTAGTATTTACTAGCAAACCAGTGAACCAAATGTTCACCAAAAAAAAAGAAATGTCTTTAATTAATTGAGAACTTCGGAGATTTTGTGTGGTTTCGTTTGAAATAGAAATCACGTGATTTCTCGAAAACCGGAAGTGCTACGTTACTCAAATCCGGTTTGTAGTCTTATCAGACTATTCTTAACTTATAACTTAAACATTCTCTTTATCTATCTCTTACGGTTTGGCCGCTGAAACAGCACCACGGACGGACGGACGGACGGACTTGTCTAATAGATAAGAGATACTAAATCCTTCGGCACTCCCGTCACTCTAGCTGGCACCTAGTATATAAATAAACGCAAAATTGCGGGTCGGATTTGGAACAAATTTAAAAAGACAGAGGTTCAGAGAGTACACTTTTAAACAGCAATTTCATAGTTATGTTTTAATTTTTTAAGCATTTAACTGCTGGATTGACGATGCCTTGCAGCCTAAGGCTTAGAGAAAAATTCGACACGACCGTGAGGGCCGCGGTAGCATAATGGTCAGTGCATTCGCACGGATAGCGAAGGGTGCTGGTTCGAGTCCCGTCTGCTGCCTGGTCCACGTGGAATTTTTTCTAGTAAAGGTTTCTTTAAATTAAAGCAATTTTAGTTTTAGAAACATCAATATTTTTGCAAAATTTAGAGTATCTATACTTGCTGATCTTCCTTCGCCCATTTTTTCCACCTTACCTTACTTTTATAATTTCGGTTATATTTTTATCACTGGCGTATGGCCAGCGTTTATATTGTAATTTACTGCGTCTTGTAAAACTTAGATTAAGAAAACAACAATATTGTTTTCGTTACAAGTACATTCAAATAAAAATCTGTATAAGTGCATATCAGACTCTCGGTGCACCAGGATCCTTTGCAGATGCTCTAGGAAGACTGGCAAGATTGATCTACTTCTGGAGGGAGATGGGCTGTTTGGGATAATCGACCGCCAAGGTTCACCATACAATGGTCCAGTTAAGCAATAAGTGCAGAAACCACAACAACTAAAATTTTTCACATAGTAAAAGAAGACCCATGAGCAGAAAATGTACTTTCATTTCATTGACATGCATTTTCTGCTCATGTACCTGAACTGAACTGAACCAGAGCTTAAATACTATCCACCTGCAACGAGGCGTGAGACATGGAGATGTTATATCTCCGAATCTTGAATGAAACAGGAAGGACGTGAAATATCAATGGCGAGAACCTAACACATATCCTCTTTGCCTGTGATGTTGTACTTGTGGCCGAGACCTTGAAAGACCTTTCGGAAAATTTCAGCAGTTTCCAAAAAAATGGGTTTAAAGATTTTTGCAGCTGGAGGGCGAGGGGTAGATCGAGGGTCTAAAGATGAACATGGGTAAGGAAATACGCCTTTCTGGCGATAAATACCAATACCGCCGCTCTTATAAAAATACACCAACATGCTCCTTGAATTTAAAAATTATTACATTTTTTGATGTGTAACATCTTTCCTCTCGCATTCCTGCAATTTGTGGGAGTGATTTCGTGAAATAGGACAGAAGTGTGTAACAGGAAGTAGCGAAAGCGCGGGCTATTTGATTTGATTTTAGAACATATTGTTCAAATGGCTTATTCCTTTTGTAGTAGGTTTTATTTCTTTTTTTACTAATATAAGGTGAGGTTTCAAATATTACACATCATGTACGCGACTACTGTAAGGATCACTCTTTTTTTTATTAATATAAAGAGAAGAAATGTCAGGTCAATCTAAATAAAACCAATTAAAACTATTCATTAAACTATTTAAACGATTTGTGTTTAGAAGTTGACACGATTACTATTTATTTGACTCAAAGAACTTGCACTCCACTTGAAAAAATACTATGTGCGACTAATAATCAACCTAACGAAATGGGATAGATAAGAGAGTCCAAAGCAGCAGAGCAAAACAAGAGACTGAATAAAGTGTGGGTTTTCCCCCAGCATAGTTTGTGCCTCTTTGGCAATGACATGGACCAGACAATAGGCACATTTATATTACATTTTAAACAAAAATTTAAAAGGTTTGTTGTATCGGCAATAAAAATATTGTTGATGCCGAAATATCAGCAATACTTCACATTTGCCGATATATCGGCATCGACAATATTTTTTTGGCTGATTCAACAAAATTTTGTATGTCACTAGATAAGATAATAATAATGTTGAATTGGTCCAATTAAAATTGGGTACACAGACACTACCCTCGAAATTGAAGACAGTTTGTCAAGTTAGTTAAGTTCAACTTCGACAAAAGAGATCTCTCGTTGTATCCAGCTCAGATTCAACACACAAGCTTCAAGTCCAAATTACCTCAGTGTCTAAGACAAAGTCTTTGGCCAGTGTGTTTAGTGTGATTAGGTTATCTACATTGCTTAAAAACAATTATTGGTGTAATAATTTATGTTCATTTGTAAACAACATTCTTCTTATAATAGTCACGCTAAAAGGGAATAATATTAAAAAAAAATAAGCAGCTACAATCATAATTGAATCATAATTGATTTCACTATGAAATGACTTATGTGTGGCTTCAAATTGGTATCTTACTAGAAAATTTAATTAATTTTTTACAACTTCATGGGATATTAAATGAATAATTGATATATTTATTTTGATTCAAAGAATAAAATAAATAAATGATCATCAAATATGTTTTTGAAATTGTTTATGAAATGCTTTTTTCCATTTCTATTTAAACTATCAACTATCTTCCTAGCATGATGCCTATGTTGTTCTGACATCTACACAACAAAGATGTCATTACCCAGACCCTATAGTCAGGTTAATGTTCTAGTTTAAGAGTCTCTAAAATTATGTCTAATTATTTACAAAAAATATCTGCAAAGGAGGAAGCAGCAGCTGGCATAATGTATTTTTTTCTTTTGGCTCCACAACCAACCCAAGAAATTAGTGTATTAGATGACCATAAAAATAAATACAGTAGGTATGTGCTCAAATTTACACATATTGACTTAAAATCACATCCTCTGAATTTGTGGTGGTAGTATTACATCACTGAATATATTTTCATGTTAAATTCAAATGCAAAATAAAACAACTCACCCTATACTCTCGAGACTGTCCTCCAGCTCTGCACATTTCACTTCAATCTTTCTCTTCCTTTCATGATCTAGGATTTCGCGATTTGGCTGCTTGTTAGACGCAGAGTCTAATTTTGCTATTTCTTCTTCTGTACGATAGTTCACCGTATCTTTGGTTTTTCTTACCGAAGCCCAATTTCTTTGAACGTAGCCATTGGTTCCAGACCCTCGGGGTGTAGTCAGCCCAATTCCATTGTACATTTTAGTAAACTATTCAGGTACCTAAAAATAATAATAAAAATGCTGTTAGCGAGACGTAAATTAATGTTCATTGGTTATAAAATAAACACGGCGATTTTGTACAGATTATAAAATTTTAAGTAACAAGCTTATATTTCTTTATTTTGTAATTATTCTGACCATTTATTGTAATGTGCGAAGGTAAATTAAAATTCTTCGCTTCGCACGCAAAATTGACTACACGTCCATCTTGAAAAAAAATACTTTTCTTAATTCCTGCTTTTTTAAATACCCTTTAGGTCAAAGCTAAGTAAGTCAAGTCCATACATCCTAGTTTTAGGTAATGAAGTTTTCTTTTCTTCAAGATTACGAATAGATGACTTACGCTCAGCACGAACAAAATATGGAGTTTTTGCCTTGACTGAACTTAAGTGTATTTTTGTGAAGATCGGTATTTTGTTCAGACTATTTCTTCTTTACTTTTTTGGTATTGTATGGACTTACTTGTAGTAAGCCTTTGTCTTCATTTCATAGTAGAAAAGGCTACGAGTTACCCAAGGTAAGGGATTCCTATAACATACAGCCTTATCCTTTATAAAAGGTATTTAATAATTTGGAATTCCTTGTTTCCTTTGAAAGAAGAGGAGATTTAAAAAAGCAATGTCATTCATAAATTCTGTAGTGGTTTTGTTGGGTATTTGGCGGGACTTCATAGAATGCGGTTGCCGTCTTATTTTAATTATTCTTAATTAGTTCATAGTGGACATTGTGAAATAAAATTACTGTGATTTTGTGTTACAATCGTCTGCTCAACTGAATAATTAGTGGAATCTTTAAAATATACGCTATTTGACTATTAAAGACTAGGCTGTATGGGCATTGTTCCTTTTGTCTTCCTAAAACGGGAGTATCTTTAAAAAAAGGAGTTTTGTTGTTTATTTCATGTTTCAGCTTGCTACATATATAGTGATCTGTGTCATGTTTTGATAAATCGTAAATTTGGTAATCAAAACGCCTTTTAAAATCAAATATATTTGCTACTGTAACGATGTTAGATAAAATTCTTTATAATACAGTATTGTGTCAGGCATATTCTCCATGTGGAAAGTATTTAGTAGCTGGAAATATTTATGGCCAATTGGCGGTGTTTGAGTAAGTTGAAGTTTTTCCCATATAACAATTTACTATTATTGTCAGTTAAGATATGTTCTTTTATTTATTTTACTTTTTAGCCTTGATCGCATTTTAAATCCAGTTGTGGAATTGCTTACTTCAGACTACAACAAACCCAAATATAAACATAACCTAGAATCTGGTAATCAGATATGCAGCTTAGTGACTACAGATAAATTCTTGATCATTGGTACGGTCAATGAAATATATGGTTGGGATTGGAAAGCAATTTTGAGTGTTAAATTGAGCAAACCATCGTGGCAGATCAAGATATCGTCCAAAACTTCTCTGGAATACATTGATGTAAACAGTTTGTGGCTGTCAGAAGACCGAGAAAAGTTACTAGCTGGTTGTGGTGACAATAACGTATATATCTATAATTTGGAGGATAGACGTCAAATATCTGTGCTGTCTGGCCATGATGATTACGTACATTCAGTGCATGGAAAGTAAGTGTTGATTAAAATAAGTTTCTCTGTTACTTGTTTCATTTGGTACACAATTACACAGAAACTTGACCATAAGAATACAAAAATCTGAGCATTAACAATCTATTAAAATTAAGTTAACAGGCACAGTTTTATGAACTTTAAATGCACAAACAATTATGCAATAAGGATGTTTCTACTTTATTAAGTCTATCTTAATAATCCCAAAATATTATTTTTAGGAATGATCAGATCATCTCATCTGGTGAAGATGGTGCTGTACTACTATGGGATCTCAGGACAGCAAAATCTCATAACAAAATAGAGCCCTATAAAAACAATAAAGTCAGCAGACCAGACCTAGGAAAATGGGTGGGATCTGCATCTCTGAGTGACGACTGGATTGTAAGTAATATTTTATTTATACGCAAAAAACTATGAATATGTTTTTCTATTATCTTATTATTTGATTTTCTAATTCTAACTTTTAAAGCCAAAGAAAAGTAACATAACTATCCTCTTTTCAAACTAAAATAAAGGGATTGTGGAGAGAGAAAAAGTTTCATAATTAGGTGCCTGCCTAGTTACCTATTTCTTGTTATTTTTATGAAAAGATGAAGTGAATGATGAATAGTTTAACAATTCATTTATGGTAATTACCAGTTAAGGAGCTCTTGATCTCTTTTTCTAAACAATTGTAGTTAAGTATGATGAAACAATTTCTTTTTAGGTCTGTGGTGGAGGACCTCGTCTAGCTCTCTGGCATTTAAGATCTCTCGATGTTACCACAGTATTTGATTTGCCGGATCATGGAATACATGTCTCTTACTTCCATGATGATTGTGTCATAGCCAGCGGAGCAGCTAAACATTTGTATCAACTAAGTTACTCAGGGGAGATCAGAGTTGAGCTGCCCGTGTCAGCGACTACAGTGTATTCAGCAGTTTTGAAGTCAAACCCCAATGTATTAGCAATTGCAGGCTCCAGCCCGGAAATTGATTTGTGCACTTCATTTAACTATAGGGATCAAATTCTACATTTTCGATAGGGTAAGTTATCATATTTAACCATCTTATGAAGGAGAAATACTGTGGTTTTAAATAAAGAGAACAGTTTGAAACAAATTTCATATTATTTATATCACAAAACCATATAACTATTCACACAATGTCAATAAATGTCATATAAAAATAGAATTCTAAAAGGAGTTCTCAAAAAATGAAAGTACTGCTAAACACTAAAGTTTTTAATTTGTGTTTTTTTAAAGTTTATGATAGACATCAATTATGTTGCTTGGCAGTATGTTAATGCCCTCTTCAAAATGTAAGGAACAATTAATAGAAAAATGTGTGAAGAGCAATAGCCTTCATCCATACAGGATTAATTGCAATAAATAACAAAATGAACTGGTCTATTTTAGTAAACAACATTTGTGAAAAGATAAATTAATATTTAAATTAATATGCTTCTACACTCATATATAGCCATGTCCTGCTATGGCAGCTGGTATGTACCCCTGACTTCCATCTTTCATCTTCACATAAAACCAGTCCATGTCAACATCGGTCTCTGCACCGGTCCGTTGCAACAAAACAACTACATCCCCTTTTTGCACTGTCAAAGTTTTGTTTAATGCACTTCCTTTATAGTCACTGTTCACCACCATTAATATTTGTCTTTTCACTGCTGAACCTCTGTCTTCTTTTTTGTGAAGTCTATCAATGTTGGAGCAAGCAGACTTAGTCTTTAAATAGAGGGAGTCAAAGTCCTTTTCTGCGCAGGAACTTTTCGGTCTTCCCTTGTTGCGAGGCCGGTATTGGCACTCTGATCGGGTTCGACCGCGAAGGTGTTCCTTCTCTGTGTCCGTTAGGTTGCCGCATGGACGAGGATATATATCAGTGCTGCTCTCCCAGCAGGGTGTATTCTTCTGAGTTGACGTTCTGGAATCAGACAAATATAAACTTTAGTTTAAATAACGACTAGGAAGCTCATGTGCTTACACAATTACGGCAGCACTAAGAGGCGTTAATCAATTATCTAGTTCAGTTAAAGTGGATGCTGTGATTTTTGTGGCGATAACACATTCTCCTAGTGCTCACATCATCATCATAAACATCTCGCGATTGTGGAATCCGATATTAGGCTTTGGGTGCTGCTATTATGACAAAAAGCATGTGATCATAAAAATACATACTTTCAGGCTAATCCAATCTCCATTTGCATCATTCCTCCGCGTCCTCCACTCTACATTCATCAATTACACGCAACTTTTCACGTAGCTGACCTTAATTTGCCCAATGATCGGATTATAGTATAACGAAGCAAAACTAATTTCGCACTTTACGCTTAAATATCTATTTAAGCATGTTTAGTAAACAAAGCTTTTAGTTTCCAAGAAAAGACTACTTTGTTTAATAGCCAACTTTTAAACCTTTTTATTACATAAGTTGTACCGCGCACCGAGATCAAGTTTTTATTAAACAATCCATTATCTATATTTGTAGACATTGGCATGGTTTTAGAATTTACATGGTTAGCCAATGAATATTAATTACGCTGCGGTCGGCTGCGGCTGCGGTGACTTGAGTTCCGTACCCGTACTGCGACGCGACCGATGTTTGCTCATGATCACGAAAGCGATACTCGAGCCGTGCTTCAATCTTGCGGTAACTTCGCTGTTCATGCGACCAATGTTAGAAAAATATGTAGACAGCCAGATTATGTGGTAATTTGATATTTTTAGATACCTACACAACACAGCTTCGATAATAATAGTCGAGCTAGTCTTACCTACAAGCTTTTTGTGTTTGGCCTAGGGTTCATGATTTCTCGAGCTTTTCAATTTCTCGCGTCTCGAGAATTCTCGAGGTTTCTCGGGTTGTCGAGAAATTAACATTTCCGTACGTTTTCTCATATTATTTGTTCTAATGACGTTAACAAATTCAGTGGTTTTCCTCACAAATCATCATCATCATCATCAACAGCCTATCATAGTCCACTGCTGGACATAGGCCTCTCCAAATGCACGCCACTCAGATCGATCTTGGGCTACTCGCATCCAGCTCCTGCCAGCCACCTTGCGCAAATCGTCACTCCATCGTGCCTGAGGACGTCCTACTCTACGTTTATTTACTACAAATAAAAGTATCAAATTAATTATAAAACTTTTATTGATTATATTCAAAAATTCTTATGAATAAGCTATTTAACTTTAAAAAAATACAGAAATAATATTATTCAGACTCATAATTATACTACTATGGGCCGGTTTTTCAAAACTCGGATACTATCGGTTTTGACACCAAGAAACTCACGCATCACCCTATAGTCACATTACACCAATTACCACAAGTCAACTCTTTATTTTGCCCGTATAATACGATATCAGACAGATTAATTTTATCCAGTGTTCGAAAAATTAGCACTTATGTCTCACCAACCCGCTAGTATTTGAACCTTTGCGAGCAATGGTTTTTGGGCATTGCGCATTTGCAATTCCTTACTTTATTTTTAAATATTTCCATACTTTTGATGCTTCCATCTTTACTGTTATAGTGACGTTTCGGTAAAATCTATAACAAACGCAATTCAAATTAATAATAAGCCCTTGGAGTAATGTTGGAGTACAACACAACTGGCAATCACAAATTTTAAAGTGACACTTTAATTAATTTTAAATGACTTAGATAAGAAAAGAGGGTACATGATTTCTCGAGTTCTCGACTTTCTCGAGCATGATTTCCCGGGAACAAAGGTCAACGATTTCCCGGGAATTGTCGAGCCGAATGAACCCTAGTTTGGCCAGAGACATACGCTAGGGAAATTTTATCGTTGCGACGTCGCGTCGTTGACGTCGCATACGAAGGGTTCCGTACCACTGAACAAAATTGAACACTAGATCGGTTGAATACTAGGGGTGCTCTTATTCGAACAGTCTGCTATTCCCTATCTCAAAATACATATTATGTTATAAAATCAAATGTATGCAAACACCGTGATTGTAAGATTACCTTCAGCCCGCACGCTGACAAACGAACGGACGGACAGAGGAAACTTACGTTGGCACACTTCGGGAACGTAAACGTAACCCCATAAACAATTATCATCTAACACTGAACTTACTCATTGGGCAATATCCCCAATGGCAAACACGCGCTTTACATACGTAACCTAGCTGCGCGTGCGGGTTTTGCACGAACCAAGCCAAGCCATTGCTGACTCTTGAACACTGCGTTGACGTATAATGCGATTCAAATAAGAATAGGAAAGCCAATGACCTCTATCTGTCAAATGTCGCTTGAAAAGTACGGGTTGCAAAAAAAATCTTGGAACCCTTTTATAGCACTCCGCTAATTCAAGAATAAAAATCAAACATTTGTAAACAAACAATAACAAATATTGATAATTAATATCGGTTGATATTTTTTTTTTCACTTATTGAGCTTTGACCATGAATGGTTGATAACCTAAATCGTCAACCAAATATCACTTTAAGTTGCGTTCAGAAACTCGATTTCAAACTTTCGTTTACATAAAGGATGCATGTTCGTATGTGACCTAGTAATAGTGCATGATTATTCATAAATATTCCGGCGGTAATGCAGAGATGAGCGGAATAGAAGAGCTAGATTCTGATTAATGTTTTTCCTCACAGTCTTAATAAATAAATATTATAAAAACGGGGGGTTCTTTTTTTTCTCAATCTTAGTAAATAAATGTTATTAAAAAAATCTGATGCTTTTTCTCACTTAATCTTAGTAAATAAGTTTTATTAAATAAAAACTTTCTTTTGCTCGCTCTACCTATTTAGTTTGAAGGTTTGAATTGACAACTATGACATCACAATATGGCGCCCAGTCGGTCCTATTCTTAGTTGAATCGCATCATATACATACACTAAACAGCCCCCTGACTAACGAACGCGCAGCGGAGTCTTACGTTGCGCAAGCTTTAAGAACCATAATCCATTCAACTTACTTATTGGGCAATATCCCCAACGGCAGACACGCGTTGTACATGACGTAGCCTTGTTGCGCGTGCGGGGTTTGCACGAACAGCCACTGCTGGTTCTTGAACACCGCGTTGACGACGGTGCCCAGTGGCAGCGTCAGCTCAAGCTGCTCGCCCGTCTGCGTCTGGTACAGCGTGGTGGGGTACGCTACCACCACAGGGATGTTGCCGGGTCGATCGAGCGATGCCTAAAAAGTACGGATGATTTGAGAGTTATTTAGTACTAATGAACCGTCCTCGCTTCGCTTTGGTGATGATAAGATTATAGCTTTTGCTCTCTAGTATATATTTATAATAATAACTAGCTGACCCAGCGAACTTCGTACCGCCATAAAAATAGGAGCAGGTGGTAGAAGAGAAAATTTAGGTTTGTATGTATATTTTAATATCTAATTTAAAAAAAAAAATTGTGCAAAAAAATTTTAGGGGCGTGTAACGTAGTGTTCTATCAATTTCTAGGGATAACATTCCTCCTAACCCATATGAGAACACTACGTTACAATACCCAATAGTTTGAATTTTGGCGCGAAGGCGCATTGTAGGTTTCAGAACACTATGTTACAGGTGGACAACCATTATTAAGGATATGAAAAATAGATAGTAGCCTATTCTCAGACCCACGGAATATGCATATAAAATTTCATAAAAATCGGTCAGGCCGTTTCGGAGGAGTATGGTAACTTTGTGACACGATTATATATAAGATAATATAAATATTTCCCACACTCACACCAATTAGCCCATCCCCAAAGTAAGCACAGCCGTACAGGCTGGTGTTATGGGATTAGGGTAACGGATAGAATACATAAGTATACTGATATATATTTATATTTCATCTAGAAATATATATATGATCAACCACGACTAAGGTACAAATGCTCGTATTCGTCATACTAACATTTATTCCCACCGGGAATCGAACCTGGGACCTATGAGTAGGCGACGCCATGAAACCCACGCACTCTGCCTCGGAGGTTGTCAATATGATATCGTCGTCATACATAAACCTTCCTTTGTATCCCTCTATCAACTTTGATCTAATGCTAAAAACTAAATTAAAGTCCGTTGCGTAGTTTAAATGATCTAAGCGCACAGACAGAGGAAGCGTCTTTGTTTTATACACAACTAGCAGTCTCGTCCGCGTTGACTTTGGTTTTTTTGAGAATCTCACAAAAACCTGAAAATTTTCCGGAATAAAGAGTGTCCTATGCCTCAATCCAGGTCATGAACTATATGCGTACCAAATGTCATCCAAATTCATGCAGTAGTTTGTGCGTGATTGAGTAACATACAAACTTGCATACAAAATAAGTAGGATGAAAAGATTCACGGCGTGTATAGACTTTGCAGTATTGACTATTGTAGAATGCGGTTAGGGTTTCCATTCGTCCGAATTAATCCAGACACGTCCGGAATTTATACTTTTGTCGCAATTTTGTCTGGCTGTTTTTAAGGAAGTATTTCATTAATAAAAAGTACATAATTGATGTATAAGCTTAAATTATTTCAGAAATCCGCCATTTACCTCCGGCCCTCCCGCACAGTGTTTGTAATTTTTAAACTAAATGGTTATTCTAGTTGCGTAATCGAAAAAAAAAAATTTCTTACGCTAACAAAAAATTTACAATTTTAAGTTTTTTGTAAAACGTCAATGTTTATTGAGTACACCGCTAGGCCTCTTGCGACTTCACTTCTTGCTAATTTTAGTTTTTTGGAAATCCCACAGGAACCTAACATTTTAAACTAACATTTCACGCGCTTAAGCTGGTTTTGGGCAGGTCAATAATAGCCCAAAGTCTCATAACAATACGGATTGTAATACCAAACAAACTGCACTTAATAAATGTTCGGTTCAAAATCTCAAAGCAAAATTAAACGTTCCAAAAGAATTTTTAAAATGATGAGCAATTTGTGGGAATCCCACAGGAACCTAACATTTTACTGGGATAAAAAAATACCCTATGTCTCAATCCTAGTCATAAGCTATATGCCCAATTTCATTAGAATCTGTTCAGTAGTTTTTGCGTGATTTAGTAACAAACATACAAAGTTTCACATTTATAGTATTATTAGTATGTTAGCCCCTAATTTTTGCATTGAGAATAACTTAAGTAGGATTTATCAGATTTTACTAAAGGAAACTTCTGTTGCTATATTTACAAAAAACATGCTAAAATTCGGCATATTGTAATTAATCTTAATGTAACGTACGTCTTCATAAAGATATATTTTTATACCTGACTACATTCACGAGTTCATCATATTGCAATTATGAACCGCAAAGTGTAACCTCAACGAAATATATTGTTGTCTGGATTAACCGCATCGGTAATTGGCCCTGTCCATTCAAAGATTTAACGCTTAAGCTGGTTTTGGGCAGGGCAATAATAGCCCAAAGTCTCATAACAATATGGATTGTAATACCAAACAAACTGCACTTAATAAATGTTCGGTTCAAAATCTCAAAGCAAAATTAAACGTTCCAAAAGAATTTTTAAAATGATGAGCAATTTGTGTGTTGTGCAATTTTGCACCAATTTCGCGGCGTTATTGTTGGATATAACCAGCTCGCTCACGGATAAGGCACAAGAACAGGGATGTTGAACTTTAATGTCATAATAACTTTGTGGAAAATGAATAATGCTCAACCAGTGCTTTTAAGTTCTTAAAGAAGCAACTATGTAATAGGTACACCGAAACATGGATCATTATTTTTATAAAACATGCAGTTTCTTATTGTGCTTTTCAGATTCTGCGTTGAAATTTTATTTTTTAAGTATTTTGAACGATCGCTTACAGGAAGTTATGGAGTTTCGCTTACCTCGCTCAAGAAACTATCCAAATCTCTGATATCATATCCGAACTTGCCGTTGTTGCTCTTTTTCTTTCTTCTATGTCGATGTCTATGTTTCTTCCTCGTATGCTCAGTACACACACTAGTATCATCGGAATACGTAACATCGTGTCCTTTCACAAAACCATCACACGAATTTTTAAACTTTAAATTGTGATAATGTTCGTTGCGTCCGACTACCCTATCTTTCGATTCTCTACTGTAATACTTGCACTTTCTATAACGTTCGTTCTCGTTGAACCTCTGATTGTGACGCTGGTGTCGATCGACGTTGCTGTCCAAGGTTTTTTTTGTTTTGTTGTCACTCTGTGGTAATTCTACACGTGGTTGTTTTGCATTTTCCAAATTCTCATTTAACACCCACGTCAGTGATATCTTAGATTTGTGGCGGTGAGCCAGTGGCGTAGAGTGCCACAGCCCCATTTCCCTTATTTCAGCGTACTCAGCATCGGATTCCTGATTCGCATCAGTCGCCGTTACTTTGCAATTCGCCAGCAAATCTACGACTTCATATATGGGTGCAGAAACCTGCAAAAAATAATCATTTGTTAAAAACAGAACTCTAAAAGTTGTCCAAAAAGCTTTTAATTATTACATGATCATTAATCATACCTGCTCATTGTATCCCTGAAGGCGTACTCCGCTGTCATCGCTCTCCCGGTACGGCGGCGGCGGCGACTCTTTAAACGAGATCTCTGCAGCAAAATGCGTCCCGATTAATCACAAATATTATTACAATCGCTCGTAACTCGCCGGCGCGGACGCAATCAATATCGGTGTTATTACCACAGTCAGCTGAGCGGATTATTGGGCATCGATAATAAAGGTGTAGTCAAAACAATGTATGCCGGCGGAACAATGGGCCTGAGACGCCGACACGCCGGGGGTTGCGGCTCCCGCGGCCGCCCACCGTTCGCGGCCTCGCGCCCAGCACTGGCCCTGCTGATACGCTATCGGCATCGCCCTCCACTAAAAAATCTCGGAACATTCTCACGGACGCGATGGCCGGCGAGCGCGCCTACTCATGCGAACGGCGAATGCGCCTCGCCCCGGGACACGATTTACAACAGACGCAAACCTTCAGGTCACGATGCGCGTCATTACGTGTAGGTTTTTGGAACAGTTTTATTATTTTGGAATGGTTCTTTGTTATACCTAATGAGTTAACAACAACATTATTGTAAGTACCCTATCAAACTTGTTCTGCTGTCGGTCAAGCTTTGTACGTCCTACGTCTGAGGATCTCTCGAATTAAGTCTGTGAATTGAATAAAAATAGAACCATCAACTTATTTAAAGAAAAACATCAGATATTTGTAGAACTTATGACTAGTTGATTTTTTACTTCTTATTCTAAAGAAATATTGGTTAAAAAATATAAACAAAATATATTTCCCACGTAAAAAAATCATTGTAAAAAAACTTTACTTAAATGCGCTAAAATGTTTATATATTATTATTATCTTACCGAAAGGTTATAGATGTCTTTTGTAAAATCTCTTATTACATAATATTTCATCAAGTCTAGAGCAACAGAAATGTACAGCTAGATTCTTTATTTACGAATTATAATCAAGAGGTTCTAATTAACGGCGCCCAAAAACAATAGCCCCTGTAACACCAGTGAGCGTTTAACACCTCTTACAGGAGATTCTTTCTCACACGCCTCAAAACCTCGGCGAGTTTCAACACCTATGACACATGAGTTTGAATTTCGTTTGTGTAATTAATCTGGGAATTAAAAGTGGGCTCCAACGACAATAACTCGATTTGAATAATCACGAACCTTTGTCGCCTCAAAATTTTATGAGTGCAGAAGCTAAATTGGAACAACAATAGTAACTAATATAATATCCCGCAGAATAACAAAGATGCTGGACTTTATTCGCGTGGACTTTAGAATTTGAAAAAATCCCAAGGAACGTTGCAATAGTGGTAAAAATACAAAATTTATGTACATGTAGACCTATACAATACGTTGTGGAAACGTTCATTTTATCAGAGATTGATTGAAATCTTATGTTTTATTTACATCTCCAGTTAGCATTTGTTTCATGATTATGTAACAACTCACAAAACTTTCATATTTACAATACTGACACATTCCATTCAAACTTTCGTTTCTATTTCATCCTTTTCGAGTTTTATTTTCGCAACCAAAAATAGGCTACTATGGGCTTCCCCGAAATACTCTGTATACCACTGTTCATCATAATCGTTTCAACGGTGTCGTGAAAGTTTTAATAAGTAGGAATATTAGGACAGAATAAACATCATAGTCGCATCTCAGTGATTTCACCTTTAACATTGGCTTGGGTATAAGTTGTTTGTCCGGAAACACTACAAAACTCTGATATTTTTAAACTTTTGTTCTTCGAACATTTTGCTTATATATATTAAACAAATAATTAGACGCGTGAAACGAATAAATTTAAACTTAATATTCTTTAATAATTACTATTTCGTGCGCCTTACATAACGAAACGCATGCGCAAGCGCACCTATTCATTAACACCGTACCGTATTTTAATCTTCACGTTCGAGAACTCGAGAGCCAAGAAAAGAATCTTACGTTCATAGAATATCGCTAGGATTGGAAATAAATGCGTTTTGTTTAAATTTAAATATTATCCCTCCCTCTCAATGTCTGACGTGCTCGTCTTTAAGGTTCCGTAGCAAAATGGCTAAAAACGGAATCCTTGTGGATTCGTCATGGCTGTCTGTCGAACTCGCACCCTTCGCTATCCGGGCGAATGCACTGACCAATTATGCTACCGCGGCCCTGACGGCCGCGTCGAAATTTCTCTAGCCATTCTTTAAGCTGCAAGGCAGCGCCATCTGCTGTCTGATCCGCGTGAAATTTTTTCTAGTTTTTTTTTTAATATCTAGGAACCCTTCATGGGCGAGTCCGACTCGCACTTGGCCGCTTTTTTCTCCTATTTTGTACCCCTTCGTACGGTCCCCCCAACACCATGAAAACAAAAACCGACTTCATAAAACAAAACTGCTAAAATGTAAGAAATAATGGATATTTTTTACTTGACCTTATTAATACATTCGATACCATGCCAACTCAAGCAGTAAATAGCAGCTCAGATCAATCAATCAATATACATGGCACCGACTCCAAATTATAATTTGATTTTAAATGTAGATATAAGTAAAGAATATGCATTATTAATTATATTTTAGTGGCTTTGTTTTATGAAGTCGGTTTTTATAAATTGTTAAATAGTTTTTTATTTCTTCCATTCCTTCGGTAACTAAACTTATAATCATTGGTGTCGATTTTGGCGTGATTCTCTAAACTTAAAACTAATTCAGCATCAGTCCCTCCTTTTCAGTCTTTATAGAAAATGACAAGGATACCCTGTTGTCAATTTTAAGTTTAGAGAATCACGCCAGAATCGACACTAATGTCTCACTCGTATATTCAGAAGTACTCGTATATTAAAATTGATTTATCTTTACTGTACTAAGTTATTTCTCATTTCCATAGTGTTCAGATTCCTTTGATGCTCTTTCATGAACTGTATGTGTATGCATCTCGCAGTTCTCATTTAGTTGAAACTTAAAAGTAAATGCACAACCTACTTCTTCACAATTTATTGCTCGGTGTTCTTCATTGTTCATCAGTACGCCTATTCGCTAACTACTTTTGACAGATGGTAGTGATAATCACAGAGCTATTAAGGATCCTCTACTGATTTATTATAACGCCGCTAAGAACTACTTGTTCTGAAAAGCATGGATGCATATGCATTTTTCTCTTTAGTTACTCACTGGTGTCGATTCTAGCATGATTCTCTAAACCTAAACTTAAATTTGACAGCAGTATATCCTTGTCATTCTCTATACAGAATGAAAAGGAGAGACTGATGTTCAATTTAGTTTTAAGCTTAGAGAATCACGTCAGAATTGGCACCACTGTCAGTGTCAAAAATAAACGAGCGAGCCTTACACTAGTCGCGTATGATGTATAACATTTAAAACCTCCCTTATATTAGTAAAAAAGAAATAAAACCTACTACAAAAGGAATAAGCCATTTGAACATTATGTTCTAAAATCAAATCAAATAGCGCGCGCTTTCGCTACTTCCTGTTATACACTTCCGTCCCATTTCACGAAATCACTCCCACAAATTGCAGGAAAGCGAGAGGAAAGATGTAACACATCAAAAAGTAAGCGAACAGGCCGGCTGATTACCATCCCTGTGCTGCAATCCTGTCATACATCCACGAGGCGTGAAAATAAAGACAAAAGCATAAAACGGAACGCACGAGCATATCGCTATGTGTGGAATGCGTCGCACAATACCGTGGAATGCGCGGGCTACTCACGACCCGCCGAAAACGTGCGTACAGCGTACACGCGTATCGCGCCCGCGTATCTATCGACTGCCCGGTTGGGGTGGTGCACGCCTTTTGTTATGCTTCGAAACGGGTGTGATTTTTAGAATTCCATTAGTTATTTTTTCTAGGATCACCTATTTGATACGCAAAGATATTATGGAACTGAGGTCCATCGTTGAGGCGTGAATGATGCGCCCTCGCTTGGCCTCGGTGAATTCTATAGTTTTTGTTCTCGGGCATGTAGGTATTATACATATATATAAACCTTCCTCTTGAATCACCCTATCTATTACTGAAATCTGCATTAAAAACAGTTGCGTAGTATAAAAGATCTAAGCTTACCGAGAATATGGGAGCGACTCTGTTTTGTACAATCTAAAGATTAGAACCTATTGTTGATCAATAAATATAGCATGAAGTGTGTGTCTTTAATTCGTTTAAGTATAAAAAGATATAAAAATATAGACACAGTTGGGAAGTAAAGTTCAACTAAGTATAAACATGTTATTATGATCATTATCTAAAAGTCATTAAGGTACCCACGGACTATTCTTTCGTTACGCCCATACAGCCATAGGTACCCAATTATTATCACTTATTATAACAAAGCACCAAAAATAATATTGGAAAACCGTGACCATAATACCTATAAGTAAGTATATACCAACCCACTTTATCTACTTATCACTTTTTCAATTTTACTAAAATTATTACTAACATCATCATCATCAGCCTATTAATGTCCCCACTGCTGGGGCACAGGCCCTCCCTATGGATGGAATAGGGAGATTGGGCCATGAACACCACGCGGGCCCAGTGCGGATTGGCGGGTGCTAAAGACTGCAGATACAGTCGGGACCAACGTCTTAACGTGCCTTCCGAAGCACGGAACAGTTACTAACATAGTTTTAAGTAAATTGCGAATTGTGATATTAAGCGCTGAATTTCGGGTTCGGAAGAAACTTTTATTATAATTAAATAATTTTTGAACAATAAAATTATTAACAAATCAATGACAGTAACTTAGAAATATATGCCGAATTATTTTAGTCGTTCAAGCAATTGTAACTCAATTTGAAACTAAAAACATTTTTGAAAAACGTCTTGCAAAGATCTCGACCCCTACTAATTTCAAAATTGTGTTGAATTCACATGCAGATACAGAAGATACTTTAAGAAGATTACTGCAGGATCAGAACATTTCCTTCAGAATAGTGTAATTTAACGTCTGCATTTTTTTTATATTAGGTGGTGAAGGATACCACGAAAGGCGGGCGTTCCAATCCGAATTTAAAAAAAAAGGTACCTTCCGTTGCGTACACCTATTATTATTTAATTATAATTAATATTTAAAATAAAAATTTAGAAGATACTTTGCACTTATATATCGAAGTTCTCTCACGTAGACACCTACAACAAACTATAATTTAGTATTCAGACTCACAGCTCTGGTGGATCCTGGAAACTGTTGGAACTGGTAAGCGGGTTAAAATTAGGGGCACCCAAGCACAAGAGTTCGCAACCGATAATTGCATCGTGAGAACGGGCCACTGCGTCTGCGCGCGCGCCGACAGCACAAAACTCGCCGATTTTGTGTACAATCTAATTTTCACTCAGCAGTGAAAGTGTTTTTATCTGTTATGATATGGCCAATATGATTCTGAATATACTACAACGCTGTACGATAGTCATCTTTGCTAGCATTACATAATTCGTTGGCAGAAGTTTTTAACATAATAAATCTTAGCTCGGACTTTTTTGTATGTATTTCAAACTGGTTCGTTGGAGTCAAGCTTCGCCCGCGTGTACATTAGAATTTAAAAAAATCTTAGATAACCTATCTGAATGAAAATAAATATTCCATAAAAAATCGAAGACCAATACCTACGTCCATTGACGTTTAAGAATATACCATAACCTAGTATATTATATTCTAAACATTCAACCGTTTTGCGAGATCGAGTATCAAAATATCGATACTCACAATTGTA